GTGTAAATAAAATGGCCCATCCGTGTAATATATTTTTAAACTTTTAGCTTAAAAATGATAAAAACTGAACATCCTACATTATTTTTACAGTCTTTATTTTACAGTTAAAATATATGTTTATTAAATAAAGTCTAATGTTACAACTAAACGGGGATCCCTTTAAAACAGTATGGGGTTTATGAGGGGGTCCCTGAAATTTTTTTTGCCCTTGTAAGGGGTCCCCAGACCCAAATGGCTTGAGGACCCCTGCTTTAGAGCCCCTAAATATCAGGAAAACTATCAAATGCATCCTGCTACTTGTCCAGGGGATTGTTATCAAATGAAAATATTTGTGTACGTAAATCTCTTAGGACTGTTTTGTACATTTGACTAGATTTCAGGAAATGGATTACAAATGTGTTAATGTATTCCTGTCTATTAAGCAAGTTTTGTTTTAGGACGTTTTGTGAAAACGGACGATAAAGAAGTCCGTCACTGCATGTTCACTAGTAAAAGCGATGAGCGTTTGTTGTGGTTTCATCTTTCAACTCAACGTGTTCCTGGAATTTTACAGATCATTTCAAATGATTTCATGTCAGCAGAAAACCGGTTTTCACGACRTAAGAGGGTGTATTTTAAAATGACCTTTTATCTTGTTGCCACTGTTRTGGGATCTGTAAAAGCCTTGTTTGCATGAATGAAAGTAAGACCCTTTTCTTTATGTTTGGTCAAATTAGTCACAAATACAGGTTATAGTCACTGAAAACAAAACTGAGTGAATGTATTCATGCATGTGGACCTCACTGTTTACACCATTTATTTACAATGAAATGCCTGAGATGGAAAAYATGACTTTTTCATTGAACCGTTTACTTGTTTGAACAAGAATATCTGGTTACATTTATGTGCAAACATTAATTAGCACAAGCATCAGATTGCACCCAAAAAGTGGATCAACTTGATCTAGACCGGATGAAGCAGAACACGTCTCTTCAGTCGAAGCTTCTGTTTTATTAAGAGTTTCAGATGCAGAACTGAGTGAAACCACAGTTTGTGGTTGTTGGCGACCATTACTTATACATAAACTGTATTTATTTAAAGTTGTAGTATTTGTACTTTGGTTCCTAACATTATATGTTTTCAGAGGTGCAGTTGTTGGAGCTGCAGCCTCAAAGTTTAACTCGTTAAAGTCGGGCTGACTTACATGTGCCCATATCTGAGCAGCAGTCACAGAGGCCGGTGCTCCAGGTCCCAACACCCTGGCTGGTGGAGGTGACCGTCACCACCTGAGTTGGTTGATGTTGGACCGCCATGGCTGCAGGATCRAGGGTAAACACGAAAGCTGTGGAAAAAGGAAGAAAAAAGAACACTGTTATTTTACAGAAATGCAGAGTTAGAGGAGCAGGTTTCATTCTTTATCACCAACAWCCTTCTTTTAAAGGAAGGTCATCAGACCACGTATTATACACATTAACCATCATTTTTGACTCATCACTTTTGCTGCGGCCCAGCTGTACTGGAAAGTGGGAATTTCCTGTCAAAACGTGGGAGAGAGTTCAGAATTCAAGATGGCAGCTACTCACCACAACTCAACAGTGAGTAAAACTCTCTTTAACGTTTAATAGTATTTCTGTTTTATTTATTTCACATTTTGTCAGTCGTACATGTAGTACTTTTTAGTGCTTATAATAGGATATGTTAAACCTGTTTCTATGCAAGAAATACCATGTAGAGCATAGTTATTGTTGGTTAGCGGTGCCCAGCCGTAGCAATGAGATGAGGACAAAGTTAATTAAAACTGGACCTTTGAGGGCCCTCAGTGAAAGTCTACAGGTTTTATGGTCATCASACTTAATGCTGAATGCTTTCAATATCAAAATAAAGTATCATTATTTTTGATAACTTACCTATCAGTCATCACTACTTTGACAAATGCAACTAAAKGATTTTATCTACATTGTTTTATTGTCTTCAGTTCAGTTTCTATTCTCCGTTGTTTCAGAATAGTTGACCTCTAATACTAACCATGATCTGAAAAGTTACAGTGAGTCCAGCAGATGAATGAACCCACCTCAAACCAAGAGGAAATGATCTGTTGAGTGGTCTGATGTTTGTTGTTAGAACAAGGTGTGCAGCTCTGGACTGCGTTCAGATTTGTATTTACATGTTTGATTTATTTTATTCTAAGCCATGCAGTAAATGATTCAGGTTTGTGGATTCTGGTCAGTTTGTTTCTCTAACTTATTTTTCACGCCTGCTGGGCGAACCATGACTCAGCAGCTTTACTGGCCCATCCAGTTGTTTGAAGCCTGATGTCAACGTTTGTAGTGACTATAAACCCTATTTTATGTTGACTTGAGGCATCATAAACTGAACTAACAACTCTTAGAGCTGCAGATGTTTAGTGCACAAATCACATTTTCATTAACCTCTGACCGTC